AAAGCAGAAGGTCGTGAGGTAGGCTATGAGACACCACAAACGGTTCACCTACATGTCTGTTCAGGGCTAGTGCACTCACACGGAGAATTGTCATAATCGAGCATTTCCCAAACTGAGAAGTGCAATGAAATCCACTTGCATGCACAGGAGCAATTTTGCATTATTATGATGCGCAATTCGACACGATCTGCGATGCTGCATGCGATGTGCCCCTGCTGTCATGATAGTGACAGTCACCGCTGTATGTTTTGTCAACGTTGCCCATGCACTCTTCTGTCAAGTCCAAAGTGCTCACATACTTGGCAATGTTTTTGCAGTGATTAACTTTTATCCTAGTTATGTCACGGGTAACTTTAATGAAGTACCCGCAGGCCGTGTCGATCTGCACATCGTCCACTCTCTCATGTACTTGGCCTGCTTTGTCTGTGTATCCATTTCATGTGCGATCCACAAAATCGACTAGACAGTGGGTGCAATACGCTCTCTACCTGAAGACGTTCTTCTGGCGACATCTCGCCATGTACTTGGCCTGGCTTTGTCTGTGTATCGATTTCATGTTCGATCAACAAAATCTCAATGCACTACAGAGACTAGACAGTGGGTGCAATACGCTCTCTATCTGAAGACGTGAACCATTAAATTTCTTGGAAAAGTTATACGTACACCTGAAACGTAATGAAGTACAGGAATAGAGAGAGTGACTACAATACGCTCTCGACCTGATAATAGTGATAACGTGAGTACAAGACACTAGACATCCTTAGCAAAAGTACGATAACGCTAACTTTTACGGTACTCACTCCCAGCCGTGACAAAAGACGTTATCGGATAACGGAAAAACGTTACAGAGCTCAAAATAACGGGCCGACGTTCGTTATGGAAATTCTGCAAAAAATGCAAAAACTCGCATTGTTTTGTAACTGGCGGGAGATAAAAAGCACGTCGACGTGCAGATCGAGATGAGATCGAGAGTCGAGATTGCTTCCTCTTGTGACATTTAGCTTTTTGGCGAGTTTTGCCTTTCAGTTGACAATTTCTGCGTCCTCTGCTTCGTGCCGTTCTCCCTCTATCCCATCTGGGAAACAAAGGACCAGTTCCGCGGCACTCTTGAGGAAGAAATTCATCGGCCTCTCCCAGACGTGCTGGAGCTGGAGAACCCTTACAGTCTTCGGTGCTGCGTTTAGGAAAGGGTTTCCAAGGACCTGGGAACAGCGAAAACCCATGTTCGCCGTGCTTTTGCTATTCCAGAGTAAAAGACCTCGCCAAGGTATTCTTTCGGAACGACAGCAAACTAATCCCTGGTTCAAAATTTTGAATTTCCCGCATCTGTTTCCACGAAAATTCATATCGCCATGGTTGTCACTACTACTTCGTCTCAACTATAACGTACTTTGTGCTAAGGGAAAAGTCAGCTTGAACGATCCGAAGTACGGAAAGGTTTGCGTTTACGTTAGCGATTTTTTAGCTAAGGGCGCGCTCACACTGCGATCATGAGCACGCGTCCATGCGTCAGCAAAACACAGAAACGTGGCAGTCGTGCTCACACTAGGCCTCGTACACGCGTAGACGTGAACTTGTCACACAAACTTTACGAATTGCAGTTCGTATCCAAAAGAGTTCGTGCGTTTCCTAATAAAGTTGTGGCCCGTTTTGGATGTAATGTTGCATGTTGGAGGAAGTGCCTCGTGGCTCGTATTCTTGAAGTCGACGAAAATAATTCATACAATCAGGAAGGTTTGGACTCTTGAGGGACTGCCGCTGACATCCAAGCGCTTTCGCTTTCCTGACCTCGTGGTCAGAGCAAGTGCCAGTGCAGTGGAAATTCCGGTAGTGGTTTCTTTCGTCTGTTGCCGAGATGAGAACTGTATTTTCCGATGGTAACTGAAATGTCGGCATTCCATCATCGCAGAAAAGTAGAGAAAGATAATTTCCGAAACCGAAAAGCCAGACCAAGCTGCCATCGTATTGAACGAGTACACTGTAGAAATTGGTCACTGACCCGATCACAACGAAGCAACTACAAAAACAAAAACAAAATCGACATCGTCCAAAAAGGGCAAAGAATGCATATTTGGTGGTGCGTGCGTGCAGGACCACAACTACAAAATTTTAAAAATGTGCAAATGTCGAGATGACATCGACAACCGCCGATTTTCATGAATCAACACACCGGAATTTGAGAAATTGAACATACTTCAGGCCAGGTTGTACACAAATACGCTTCACGTCTACGATCATGTTGCCGCCGAGTCGTGGCACCCCCTCCGGAGGTCGCGGTCACGATTTGAAACGTGGCCGCGACGTTTTGGTCAAGTTCATGCCGTTGCCATGCAACTTGGCCGCATGGCCGCATGGACGCTGGTTTTGGTCGCAGTGTGAGCGCGCCCTAAGGATATCTACTCTCCACCTGATAACGTGTTAGAAGGTAACATGTCTACAGTCCCACCGTACCCTTCCGACACGCGACTGTAGACCATTAATTTTTTTCGAGAAGTTATACGTACACCTTAAACGTAATGAAGTACAGGAATAGAGAGAGTGACTACAATACGCTCTCGACCTGATAACGTGAGTACAAGACACTCTCCACCTGATAACGTGTTACAGTAGTGGAAGGTAACAGGTCTACAGTCCCACCGTACCCTTCATCATTCCTCATTCACCATCGCGCGATACCCTGGCACACACTGGCAACATATCAATGGGGTGCCTTACCGTCGTCTAGGGGAGACGTCTTCGCAGCAATATTTTCCCTCCTGCGCATTCAGTCGCCGACGCGACAGCGTTCACGGGGCCGTTCCAGTTGCGGAAGACATTCGATTCATCGGGCCAATTCAGAAACAGGGCCGTGGACACACAGGGGGCAGAGGAGAGACATTGTTAGTGGACAAGAAATATGCAGTGGCAATTGGCGAGTGCCGCATGGATGTCAAGTTGTCATGCACAATTCAGCTATTACTTACGGTCCAGCTAATCCTGCCATTGCTCGCTCGTCCTGGTTCCTCCTCGTTCGTCTTCCTGCACGTCTGCACTTCTCCTTCCCCACCGTTGGCTTTGCGGTGCGAGGGTGCCGGAAGGAATTCGCATCATGTATCCATGTACATGAAGTCCCACCATGACTCTCCATGTACATGTCCACGGCCACATCACCAGTTTGTATAGTACCGGAAGGAGTTCCCACGATGTCTCCAAAGGCCTAGAGCGGACGTCTTTGCAGCAATTCTTTTCGCCCTGCGCATTCAGTTCGCCGACGATGTCTCCAAAGGCAAAGGCCTAGAGCCTAGTAGAGCGGACGTCTTTGCAGCAATTCTTTTCGCCCTGCGCATTCAGTTCGCCGACGATGTCTCCAAAGGCAAAGGCCTAGAGCCTAGTAGAGGGGACGTCTTTGCAGCAATTCTTTTCGCCCTGCGCATTCAGTTCGCCGACGATGTCTCCAAAGGCAAAGGCCTAGAGCCTAGTAGAGGGGACGTCTTTGCAGCAATTCTTTTCACCCTAGTACCCTAGCACATTCACTCCGCCGACACGACAGCGTTTACGGGGCCGTTCCAGGTGCAAAAGGTCCACGTCAGCAGTTCTCAACTATTTCGCGTACGGGATAGTCGCCGCGACAGCGTTTAAGGGGTCGTTCCAGGTGCAAAAGGTATCCATCAATGGCACTTTGCGGTATGGGGTACGGAAAAGGGGCCTCCTCGTTCGACTTCGTCGACTTCTGCAGTTCTCCTTCCCGTCAGGGGTACCGAAAGGGGCCTCCTCGCAGTTGTCCTTGCCGTCAGGTCCACGTCATGCAGTTCTCAACTATTTCGCGTACGGGATACTCGTCTTTGTAGTACGCGACATCGGCGTTTACTGAGTGGCATTGGCACAAAGCAGACCGTTGACGGGGTCACGTGTCAAAAAAGTATCAACAACGTGTCGACTACGTGTCGACCAAGTGTATAGCGGTACACTCAGCGGTACACTAATTCTCGTGCCATTCTCGTGTCACAAAACTGGAACATCGAGCACCAGTATGGAAAGGCTTCAGACAGGAAGCCCTTCCAATATCGCCATCAATATCCTGTTTGGCTGTTGTCGCTTCGGCTTATGCGAAAGCTATACATGCTGTGTATATCTACATTGCATTGATGCCAACGCGTACGCGGAAAAGCTTCTAATAATAATAATTACCCATATAAAAACCGCTCTGTGAGCGGTTCTGAAAAACCTCTACTGGTGCAGCCCCGTCGTAAAAGTAAGAAATTAGAACTGGCGCATTGTCCTCCCAAATGTGAACTGATCCACCTAAATCGCGATTGACGGGACCCGAACGCACCAGTAGCACGAGGTTCCTACCTGTGGATGCAGCTGGGGACGCTGGTCCATAGCCAAAGCCAAAGCGGCAAAGGTGGGCTTCGGGGTAGATCTAAGTGTTGTATGGTAACTTGATCAGCGCCGACGCCGGCTGTGATCCTGTGCCCTCCCGACCTCGTGCTACTGGTGCGTTCGGGTCCCGTCAATCGCGATTTAGGTGGATCAGTTCACATTTGGGAGGACAATGCGCCAGTTCTAATTTCTTACTTTTACGACGGGGCTGCACCAGTAGAGGTTTTTCAGAACCGCTCACAGAGCGGTTTTTATATGGGTAATTTCAGTTCTTTTTCTGTTCCCTCCCCCACCCTAGCCCAGCTCCGTAGATAAACATGGTGAGCACGCGCGCGATGCACTGTATGTAGCCATGCAACTACAGTAGCACACTGATACATTCCAGCCCTCTCCACCTCGCTGACCCGCACACAGACACCTTGTGACAAACACGCACATGCATATGGCACACACACACACATGGGCACGCACACACATACATACACACACACGACCCAAACAGGAAATTCTTGATGAACATTGTATAATGCCATGCAAAGCAGTGGCCACCATACTTCAGGAAGTCAGTTGTGAAACAAAAATAATTCAACTACAATGTGTAGGTAAGCTGGCGGCCAAAGCACAACATTGCAAACCGTTTTGATATTCGCCTAAGGATTGCAGTTTGCAGACCACACCATGGAAGCAGTGAATACAGAATTATTGTAATGTCATACAAAGACAAGCAAAGAAGTGGCCACCATACACCAGAAACTTGCAGAAAGTCACATATCCAACAGATAGAGAAGTGAACAGCATCTGGTACAGCCCACACAAAACCAAGCTGACCTGATACTCGTCCGAAGATCGTAACTGGCAGATCCTTTTCAACGATAGCATGCAGGTGTACGTTACACGCATGGACAAAATCTGACCGTGTCACCGGCATACATTGTCATCACATGCATACCCCACAAGTTACACACATGCACAGTAGAAGCACAATAAAAGCAATGGAAAAATATGAAGGGGTTGCTGAAGCATCTTCACACTTCAATTTCAGACTTCGATGTGGTCGTCACGGGGTGATATACCTGCAAGATACAAGTGATACAGAAAGAAAGCATAAGGTCGTGAGGTAGGCTATGAGACACCACAAATGGGTCACCTACATGTATGTTCAGGGCTGGTGTACACACACACGCAGAATTATCATAATCGAGAATTTCCCAAACTACAGAAGAGCAATGAAATCCATTTGCATGCACAGGAGCAATTTTGCAGTATGATGCGCAGCTCGGGAATACACCTGTTGGCAATGGATTACATTCCCATTGGAATTCCCATTCACGTGGGATTCACAGAAGCAATTTGGCAGTGTGCTGCGCAATGCGACACGACCTGCGATTCTGCGTGCGATGCAAACTCGCACAAAATACCATTCACAGAATCACGACAAGACGTCAGCGATGCAACAGCGCCTTGCTGACGTGCCTCAAGTCAAAGCTCAATGAGAATGCGTTTGTCGGTTACAACTGGTACAAATGTACAAGCAATTTCTGAAAATGCTCCTGTGAATCCTGCTTTAAGCAGTGCAGGAATGTCCCTCCTCCGCTCCCCCCCCCCTCCACACCCTCAGGGAACTTGACAAGGAAGGGTGGTCTTCGCGGTTCCCAACATCTATTTGCAGTTTCTGGTCTCCACTATGTCTTTTCAATGGGGATTTGTACGTACCATAAAAGCAAGCCTAAAAAATGAACACCATATTTGCCATTCCCCCACTGGGGAGGATGCGTTCCACAGCTATCCTGACAAGATATTCCGAGAAGCGGTGCTGAGTGCAATGCATTGTGAAACTGAAAAAGCTGACCAAGCCGCGGCATATAACGTCTAAACTTCAATTGTAGTTCGCCAGCTGACTACTTTCAAACTCCATGTAGGTTGGAGTACAGCTGGCTTAGAAGTTGACAACAACGGCGCACGCACATAAGCAATGGCCACCTTACCTGTACTGTAGCAGTACTTCCGAGTTCCCGTATGGGAGTTCCCTCACTGTGTGTGCAATAGCAGCCTCATCGGACCAGTTCAATGCGACGCGGACAGTCCGACACTGAGGAGGACATTGAAGAAGTCAGAGACAGGGAGAATGGTTGATTTACAATTCAACTAGCAAGGCTGCACACCCACGAAATTCCACTCACCATTGTGCCGTCCTTCTTGGAATGCAGAAATAACGCTTCCTCTCGAGAACGCAGCCTGTGACAGAGAAAAAGGAAGGAGCATCGCCATCGGCATTGGTCCTCTGCTATCACCGATTGCCGAGTTGCACAGTTCACTCTAACAAGACTGAGGATGTTCAAGAACTCCCCATCCATACCATTATTGGAGTAAGAGGAAAGGTCAGATTGCCTAGTTCCTAGGGCCTAGCATTCCTGGATGCCACGATGTGCTGCCCCCCCCCTCCCTTCTACTGCCTGGAAAGGGCAACACATGTGACAGCGTTCACCAGTGCAATCGGAGGAGAACATGGGAGAAGGCAAAAAAGGGCAACACACATGAATCCCTTATAAACAAGCAGTGGCAACTCTAGCACCAGCAATGTTGGACTTACATCCCAGCTATTGCCGCCGGATTCAGCGGCTTCTTCTTCTTCGTCTCCCATCTTGGAAGCACTCCTTCCCGTAAGTTCAGTCCTGGGATCGGGAGTACAGTCGGAGGAGGGCGTCGGAAAAGGCAAAAAGGCAACACACATGATTCCCTTATAAGCAAGCAGTGGCAACTCTGGCACCAGCAATGTTGGACTTACATCCCAGCCATAGCCGCCGGATTCCCACGCTTCCTCTTCGTCGTCTTCCAGTTCCCAGGTTCCATCTTGCAAATACTCCTTCCCTTAAGTAAGTGCAGTCCTGGCCTGGGTGGATGCGCAGTACATTGACGATGGCGGAGATGGAGCAGGTCAGGGAGCCCTACAGGGTCCCGAGAGCAGATTGTGGCCAAATTCGGGACGATGCTGGACGCCAGTCAGTATGAAGTAGCGAATTGCGGACCGCCACGTAGATTGGGGTCGCGGGGTCATAATCCATGGGCACTACTCGTACGTTGCTCCAAAAAAGGGCACTGCAATGTTCCACAGTTGCTGTTAGCGGTCGCCAAAGGCACTTGGTAGGCCGGTAATTGGGTCACGTGTCAACAAAGTGTCAACAACGTGTCAACAACGTGTCGACCACGTGTCTTTAGCGGTACACTAATTTTGGTGTCCCCAAACTGAAAACATCGAGCACCAGTATGGAAAGGCTTTAGACAGAAAGCCTTTCCAATAATAATAGTGCTTTTCGCGTCCCTCAAAATATGCTGAAAAAGTGCTCTTTTTTCAGTGAAAACCGGCAAAAAAGTGCTCTTTTTTCAGTGAAGCATAGCCATGATACATGTTCAGATATGAAACCAAGCTGAGAAATGAATACGTACTCTTCCATTTATGGGTCCACGAAAGGCAAAACAGGAAATAAAGTTCAAAAAACCTACTTTTTAGAGCATTGTGTACACCGGGTACAAGCTTCACCAACTTATTGCCCCCCAAAAGGCGGCGTGCCAAGGCCCATCGAGCACTCGTCAACTGTGATCGCATGCATGAGCAAACAGATTTTAGCACTTTTTCAGCTAAAAAAGCTCAAAAAGGGCGATATTCACCAAAAAACGCAATAAAGGGCGAAAGAAACGGGCTTTTCCAAAAAAGTGCCAAAAAGGGCGAAAAAAGGGCAAGCACCTTTGGGAAAGGGCTACTCCATGTACATGTACATGTATGTTCTTCATTATCTTTACCTTTACTGGGTCTTCACATTGTCTATAGCCTCATCTTTTAACTTTTCTTTATCACTCCCCGCTCACGTGACCGCGGACTCCTGCATTTACACTCACACAATAACCACACAACTGTTTGGGGATAGCGCGCTTATTGTATTATGCCAAACTTGACACGCTGAGTCCAGCTTGACACAGCTGAGTCCCTAACTGCAATTTACTGCTCTAACATGAAGCCGTGCCTGGAAGAAGGGAAAGAGCGAAAAAAGAAAAAAATTCTGGCCTTCTGCAAGCAATAGCAAGTAATGAGTGACGGCTGTGTAAAGTCGCACAACCATGCAGTCGACCGGATGATGGTGAATGTCCGGCACACATCTTGCTCTGCTGCTCTATCTGCGCATACCTGATATGGTGGTGCGCTTACGGGCGGGCTGCCTGGGCCCCAGATGCCTCCTTGATGCGCCACGGAGTGCCGTCGAAGCAGCTGTATCACTTCGGTGATCCAAATGCGAATGCAGCCTTGCCGGTCGCCCGCCGGCCTGCCGCCTACGCGACCAGCCTGAGACTGGCCTTGCCGCATTTGGCGCTTCTAAACGCTGCAATCCGGTAGACAGCTCACTGGGCTGCCAAATACGTGACTGGCTTGAGGACAGTTCCATCCTGGGCAGGGCGCCCAGCTCAGGTCGCACGCCGTAGCGGCGTGAGCTGGGCGCGGTGAGGGTTGGTGATAACTACAGTTTCCTCCTTCCTCCTCCGGAAACTTCCATTTTTCCTTTTGCCTCATCGGCGCTCTTTGAATTTGTGTGTCAACACTGGCAGATGGAACTCTCTTCGAGCTGACTGTCGACAGGCCCACTCTCTTGCTCATGGTTAACCTTCACGTAGGGTTCCCAGTAAAAAGGCAGTAGCCTGTTGGGACTCCCCTAGTAAAATAATAAAAACTACTATTACCTACTGTGTACTTCGAAGTACTGTCTCCTGTGTACCGGTTTTGTGGCACAATGATTATAGCCATTTGTCGTCTCCACTCTTGTGCAATCATGCATATGTAGGTTGGTTCTCTTCATGTCATTGTGATTGTGACTAGGCCTCGACCAAATATGCTAAAAAAAGAGCATAATTATTATGCTCGTCGCATTTCAGGGAAAACGTCCATAATATGCCAAAGGCTTAGCAAGATATGCAAAAAGATATGCCAAAATATGCCAAAATATGCTCGACATAAGCAGAAAGTGTAGATCATTTCAGTAAAATTACAACCTTGGAATATTCATTGGCTTCACGAATATCATGCTTACGGTGCAAATCAAAACACATGCGGAAAAGTATGCTTGACCCTTGCCTACTATAGTACATGTCAGTGAAATTCCAAATTCATCCATAAAAGGCATTTCTGAACGCATTTTGTCCATAATATGAATGTTTTGTCCTCATTTTCTTCAGAATATTTGAATTATATGCTGGCTTCATTCCAATATTTAGAAAAGCGATCCTGTCAGCTTTTCTATTATTGTGTTCACATGGCAAGAAAAACGACATCGCTATGCTACGTAAGTTTCTACGTAAGGTGCTCGGTATTTCACTTAGGCTACGTAAGTCTCTACGTAAGGTGCTCGGTATTAGATCTACCAACGGGTGGTAGCCGCGTGCTGTGCACGTGCACGGCAGACATTGTGTTGCAGTGCAGTCCGTGTTCGGATGTGCATGCGCGAGGAACTTCCTCCTTTGGAACTGCTTCTTGTATGAGCTGTTTTGGATATTTCGTCTCCTGGCCTGGCTTATTTCGTTTCGTCGCTGCTGAGACTTCCTTTCGCGGAATATTACTCAATGACAGGTGAGTTGACCAGTTCCCTTTGATTCTTTTGCTTGTGTTGACTCTTTCATTTACGAAAAGTGTGCTCATTTTGGGCGGAATGCAATAAATAATGGAAAAGCTGACAGGATCTCTTTTCTAATTTAGCTTTTCCGCTGCCGAGGCCTCCTTTTACGGAATACTCGATGACAGGTGATCTCTGAGTTGACCGGTTTCCTTCGATTCATTTGCTTATGCTCACCCTTTCATTTACGGAAACGTGTGCTGATTTTATTCGGATTTAGATCCATTTTTATCTCTTTGCCCTTGTCTACAGTGTGCAAAGAACGCGAGTTCACCTTCTTGACGGTAAGGCTTATGTTAGATGTGTTGTCGAAATACTCATATTCATTGTATATTGGTACGTTACAAGTAAGGCACTGGTCAGTGGCATACTATCGTTGGCAGTTCCCAATCTGGACGGAAAGGTTCAAGGACCCATTGACCGAAAATCTCCATTGTGGAGAGGTTCAGTAAACTTGTTTGCTTCGTACGAAACAAGTCAAAGGGTGCAGTCTCGTCTCGTGAAGATCTCGTACTTGTATGATTGGATTTGTTTACTCGAGTCTGGTCTGTTTTATTCATTATTTGTGGGTTCCGCCGAGATTGCACTGCCCCAAGTGAAGTTTCGTGCCGCCAAAGCAAGAATTACGATCTGCAATCTGTTTGTAGTACAGTAAAACCTGTGACTACCGACCACCCCTTGGTGCCAGCAAAAGCGGTCTTTAGTAGCAGGTGGTCTTTAGTTAGAGGTTTGCACCACGCGACTATATATGGATCCCATTATATGATATGTACATGTATATCAAAATGCAGCTAATACAATGGACCGTATGCGTGTTAAAACAAAATGGCGTCACGATTTATTGAAAGTGGTATAGTTGGTGGTACGAGTGTTCAAACCCATTTGAACTTCATACTGTTCGTCTTCTTTTTGACATGCTCTCTTTCCATCGTCCCTAGCTTTTGTTTTTTGAGAGCTGTTTTGGCTTTCTCCTATACCTCTGGGGGATGCCAAGTGATGGTTTTGAGAGGCTGGTGATGGCTGTGAGCGAGAGTTTGCCGATCGGCGTCGTCCTCGCTATAGCGATGAAAATACTAGTTACTGCGCACCTGGCAGATATCACAACACGTCGGAGCGTCCAGGAGCAAAGGAATCTTGGGTTTTCACTGGAATCTAGTTCCTCCAGCATCGTGTAGCCCACCGTCGGTGAATGGCGGTCCAGAAAGGTCGAACCTGGTCTTCTGCAGCATCTCGCAGTCCTGCGAGGCACACTGAATACGCCTGTCATGTATTCTACAAATAAAAATCACGAAGTAGTGGACTTTACAGTGATGAGTCTATCCTGTATGCTGCAAAAGACGCAGGAAATGTGACTGGTGTCCTTACACTGGACGCCAATATCATCCCAGTCTTCTCCTGCAGGATCTGTTTGACATTGACATACCGGTATGCAGTGCCGGGGTCGACATTGGCCTGGTTTGGCAGCTATGTGCCTGGGTGGATGTAGCAGGTTTGCATTGGCGCGTCGTCCAGTCCGCCATTTTCTTGTAACTGTGGAGTACCGGCAGGGTTTGAGAGGTTGCTCGTGCTGTGAACACATCTCTACTGCCTGTCTCGTCCTGGAAGTGCCGTCTCGCCGCTTCCTTGCTCTACAGTCATGCCGTTATTTCGCTTTGTTTCGTGGTGCAGCTCAAAACCTGCCCAAACAACTGTGAGCTCGCAACATAGTATGGACAAATTGCACCACTCATGCTGGTTAACTTAAACCGGGATAGTCGAGTAAGCGAGCTCACTCCCTGGGCCATGGCAAGATCGGTTCAGCGCGGGCTATTCCAACCTCCAAGTGCATAGTCACCGATCGATCCATGCGATGGTGGTTGACCTACAAAGAGCCAAGGTCTACGAGTACTACGATTGAATGCTGTATACATGCAGTCAACAAAATCAAAGTACCTCAGTATGCCCCAGAATAGGGCATGTGCATCTATAGCATGACACAACAGGGGTTCTGGCAGCACCTGTCAAACAAGCAGTAGCGACTAGTGCCAGCTACCTATTGGAGGCTAGCCGCTACAGTCTGTCACTGGAGATAATTATTATGTTCACTGTTTAGACTGAGCACAATCAATGATGCCCAATCAATCTGCCCAATGTGTGTTCTGTTCCACCTAATTATAACGTCCCATCGCATGAACCCTACTACACGCACATGTCGTCACTCTAGCACGACTTGTGTTATTATTGTTTATTTTGATTCGCACGATAAATAGAGCACAATAAACGTTAACTTGACCGAAGGTTAAAGGTGACTGCAGATAGAGGAACACATCGAGGTACAGGTACCGGCATCAATACAGTATCAGAGAGAAACAAACAAAAATGAGAGGTACGCAGAAAAAACTCTCGTAAGCCCA